GAAAGGGAATGGGATGTACAGATCAAGTCTCATGCGCATGATCGCGGAGAAGTTTTTGGCCAAAAACCAAAAGGTTTTTTGTGCGTTCATGGACTTGGAGAAGGCCTATGACAGAGTGGATAGGAATGTGCTATGGCAAACACTGAACGCATTTGGGTTGAGCGCTGGCTTGATACAGGCATTGGAATCTCTTTATAGGGACTCTAGTGCTTGTGTTAGGATCAACGGGGTCTACTCGGACTGGTTTGGCATCCATAAAGGTGTCAGACAGGGCTGTGTGGCTTCCCCGTGGTTGTTATATATATATATATATATATATATATTGTTGCATGAATAAGTCAACTAGCGCCATCTAGTGTCAGGAACGAGAGCGAGGGGAGCATTGAGAAAATGACATCACAAATCGCTCAACTGACAGCGCCTAGTCGAAACTCGAACGCTCGATACCTTCCGCGTGTTTACTTGAACATTCTGGATATTTCTTTGCTAATTCAAATATATAGGCGCTGCAAGATGCGATCGAGGCAGTGTTGATTTGGGCGAAACAAGCGAAGCTTCGGAGTGGAATTAAGTGAATTAATGTGTTTAAATTATTAGTGTTTTAACTTTAATTGTGTAAAGTAAATTAAAGTGTTAATTTAGGTAATTTTATCAGCAATTTTTATTGTCACGAACCTCAAGCTCGTAACAATTGGTGTCAGAAGTGGGATTAAATCATGCCGATTTTACCTAAGGAGGAAACGGAGGGTGTCCGTACCCGAAGTCAACGCCAGCAGGAGACGGACCAGAGGAGGTTTGGTGGTGCAACGCCGCAGACGTCGGAGGGCCAACAGCTAGCCACGGAGACTGCGGGCCCGTCAGTAGCTCCTACATCTGCAGCACCTGACTTAGGTGCTCTGATGGCCATGCTACAGGAGCAGCTGCAGCGCGGACGAGAGGAACAGGCCCGTCTGTTGAAAGAGCAGCAGGAGGAACAGGCTCGCCAGCAGGCGGAACAGGCCCGTCTGTTGAAAGAGCAGCAGGCGGAACAGGCACGCCGATTGGAAGAGCAGCTGCGGGACGGACAGGAGGAACAGGCCCGTCGGTTGGAAGAGCAGATGCTCCTCATGAAGGACCTTCACGCTACCTTCGGGAAGGAGATAAAGGAGGTGAAGGATAGGGTTGCTCAGCATGACAACCGCCTGTCGGAAGCCGAAACCCAAATCGTGAAAGCTGAAAACCGAATCGAGAAAGCTGAAACCCGATGCTCCACGCAGTATAACAGATTATGCAAATGACTTGCGGAAAAAAATGAATGACGTTTATGAGCACGTCAGACAATCGGGCCAGCAAATGTCTGAAAAGATGAAAACCCGGTATGACCGCAAAATTGTTGTTGTTCACAAAGGGTTCGACGAAGGTTCACTTGTGTGGTTGCACAATCCAGTCCGCAGCAAAGGGAAATCTCCTAAGCTTCAAGCTAAATGGGACGGCCCGTACCGGATTGTAACCAGGATCAACGATGTGACCTACCGGATACAGAAAGGCGCAAGAGGGACTCCTAAGATCGTCCATGTGGATCGCTTGGCGCGTTATTATGGGACCGATAATGCTCGGGACGAGCATGTCTTAGGAGGGGGCAGTGTTGCATGAATAAGTCAACTAGCGCCATCTAGTGTCAGGAACGAGAGCGAGGGGAGCATTGAGAAAATGACATCACAAATCGCTCAACTGACAGCGCCTAGTCGAAACTCGAACGCTCGATACCTTCCGCGTGTTTACTTGAACATTCTGGATATTTCTTTGCTAATTCAAATATATAGGCGCTGCAAGATGCGATCGAGGCAGTGTTGATTTGGGCGAAACAAGCGAAGCTTCGGAGTGGAATTAAGTGAATTAATGTGTTTAAATTATTAGTGTTTTAACTTTAATTGTGTAAAGTAAATTAAAGTGTTAATTTAGGTAATTTTCACGAACCTCAAGCTCGTAACAATATATATATATATATATATATATATATATATATATATATATATATATATATATTATATAACGTGGTGGCGCCGGTAATGGACATGGCACCAATAATGGACGAAAAAAACTTATCAACCTTATAATAAGGGTAGAAATGGTTTTCTAGAAATGGCAGCACTTTAGACATAGACAGCCAACATCCCTCTGTCATATTGACAGAGAAAATTAATTTCGACCATTTTGTTTCAAAATGGCGAGTTGAAGAAACTGTGCTCTGGAGTTTTACAAATTTTATCCGGATTTCTTAAAGGAATCGTTAAGCAGGTTAGTCATTATTTTTGTTCACAATGTCCTTTTTTTAGATAGATATATGGACACGCTTTGATTTTATGTTTATCTTATAGTATTAGGCATATATTCGAGAAAGAGGTTATGTCACTCGATAATTTAAAAGTATTTTAGGGGGGGTGTCCATTACTGGATCCATTAATGGACATAAAACACATTTATGGACACGTGTCCATGGTTATTTAATTGTACTGAAGAGTAAATTATAAATAGTATTACCTCTTGAACATCGCCTGATATCATATGTCTTTAAAAAATAATAATCAAAGCACGTTTACCAATAATGGACACCATGTTATAATTGTATGGTTTTTTGCAATTCATAAGCGCGTGTTACCTTTATTTTTAGTTATATGTATACCTACAGATACATCTTCACACGACCTAGGACCACGCGCTCGTAGATTGTAAGAACTATCTAATTTGATTTCTTGTTTGGTTAGATGGCGCCTAAAAAAGATTATAAGCCTGAACAAATGGCTCACGCCATTGAGGCAGTGCGAAAGGAAGGACAATCAGTATCTGCAGCAGCTAAGCGATTTGGAGTGCCGAGAATTACTCTCCACAATAAAATCTCCGGTAAGAGCCCCATGGTATGCACTATGGGGCCTAGTACAGTCTTGACAACAGTAGAAGAAGATTTGCTTGTGAAATGGGCAATAGCAAGTACCGAAAGACGATTTCCTATCACTAGAGAACAACTTTTAGATAGCGTCCAGCGAATAGTTACGGTGCAACGTAAATCTACTCCTTTTACAGCAAACAGGCCAGGGAAGAAATGGTTTTCTTCTTTTATTAAAAGACATCCGATATTAGCAGAAAGAACGGCCGAAAACCTCAGTGCAGCACGCAATGAAGTGACAGAAGAGCAAATAAACAACTGGTTCAAAGAAGTGGATGAATATTTGGCCGAAAAGGGATTGCTTGAAGCAAGCCGAGTTTTTAATGCAGATGAGAGCGCCTTTTTTCTTGCGCCAAAACCTGGACGAGTGCTTGTTAGACGAGGGGAAAAGCATGTTTATGCGGCAAGTGGCGATGAAAAAGAAAATTTAACCGTCTTGTTGACTGCAAATGCTGCGGGTACACTAGCACCACCCATGATTGTTTTCGCCTATGATCGAGTCCCGGACAGAATTTCTAGCAGTGTGCCAGGAGAATGGGGCATAGGAAAGTCGGAGACCGGTTGGATGACTGGTGAGACCTTCTACGAGTTTGTGACTACAATTTTTAATCCTTGGCTGATTGTAAAAGGCATCCAGAAACCAATTTTGTTTTTTGTGGATGGTCATAGATCGCATCTTACACTTCATCTGTCCAAGTTCTGCTCTGAAAATGACATAGAAATTATAGCCTTGTACCCTAACTCGACCCACATTCTGCAGCCTATGGACATATCTCTTTTCAGACCGCTGAAAGTATATTATCGTAAAGCAGTTATCCAGTGGAAAATGGAAAATTCGGGAAACAAGTTGAAAAAGGAAAACTTTGCTCCCGTCTTTCAAAAAGCGTTAAAGAATATAACGACGGACTGCATTAAAAATGGATTTAGGGGCGGTGGTCTGCATCCATATGGTCCACAATATATTGATATGTCAAAACTCACAAAGCGGAATACTGTTTCTGATCTAGCAAATGAAAACCAAAATGAAGAAAGAAGCCATTTTTTACAATTTTTAGAAACCGAAATTACAAAACATTTTGGTCAAGAAAAGTTAGACCTATTTAACAGTCTTTATTATGAAGGAAGAAATGTTCTCGAAAACATGGCATTAGATGAAGATTTGAATCTCTATATAGTGTGGGCACACAACAAGCAAATGTCAATTTCGCTAGAATCTAGTTCCGCACCTGCTGCATTAAATAGGGAATCTTCACCGACTTCAGATAACGTATTATATAATAACACGTGTATTATGCAAGAAAATGTTATGCCAACAGACTTCGATGACAACGGCAAAGTAAGCAGTGCACTTGATCTCATAGCACCGTCAACCAGTGCACTAGATGGTGTCTCTGAAACAGTGGCATTCATACCAACGCCAAATACGCCATCAAAAGTTGATGAAGCCATATCTGATGCGAAATCCCATAATGATACAACAAGCGATATTCTGGGTAGCACAGTGCCATCAGTGTCAGAAATGCCGTCTCAAGAGACTGAAAAAATACCTATCGAAGACACAAGGGTAACGATAGGTAGTACAGTGACTTCTTCAATCGAAATTACAACGTCAGATACGTTAGCCAGGGTTGATGGATCCCTTTCTTTGGCTGCAAAAACTCCTGCAAAAAACACAATAAGTAATGCGCTAGGTGTCACAGTTCCATCGCCATTCAAAAAATGTCTTTTCTGGCCTGACAATGAAAGTACTAAGAAAACTAAGAAGAAAAAAGAAAAATTACCATCAGCTGTAACGAGCAAAGCATGGCAAGAATACCATGAAAAAAAAGCCGCCGAAAAAAAAGAATTTTAGAAGAAAAGGAATTGAAAGCTAAGCAGAGAATCGAGAAAAAAAATATCAAAGAAAAACTTGCCAAGGAAAAGAAGGGTAAAACAAAATCTAAAAAACCAAAGATGCCTGAAATATCATCATCTGAAGATACAGAAGCTGAAATAGAATATATTGAAAGTGGCGAAAGCGAATGGAACGAAGAGACTGAATCAAATACCTATCAAGGAGAAATACTGGAAAAACAAAATGAACGTAAAGCAATGGATAAAAAAGAAGATTTCAGTACAAAGGAAGAGAAAACGATCTATTACGGAAGATAGTAATTCTGAATCAGAGTTGCCTTTGACTCAAATAGCACATTCTAATAAAGTTAAAAATGCTAAAAAGGATATCAACAAGGGTTCTTTTGTCATCATTATGTATGAGGGTGAATATTTCCCCGGAAAGATTGAAAATAAGGAACGAGGTCTCTTTGAAATAAGTACAATGGTACTTTCTAATGGGAACACTTTTAGGTGGCCAGAAAGGCCAGATATAATTTGGTATAAAACTACTGATATAGTCGAAGTTATAAATCCTCCTATCAAACATAATAACAGAGGCTTTTACAAAGTACCAGAAATGGAGAAGTTTTTGCCTGACATTTATATGACCTAGATTTTAAGACTGTGGATTTAAAGATTTTTATTTCATTTATTTTTTAGTCTATTGTTTGATGGGAATTTTGCCTAACATATAAATGTCCTGGATTTTGAGACTTATTAGAATAAGATTTTTCTATTTATATTTAGTGTATATTTTTTAACCCGTTTTTCTAATTAATGGGTAAAACAGGGTTAAATTTGATCTCTCAAGTTGTGATTATTAAATAAGGTGGTTATTATAAAGAAAAAGAATAAAGACTGTGTAGTATGTAAGAGTAGACACCTAAGTTGTTAACTGCTCTTTTGAGACTTCTATTTACAAGAATACCTCAAGCTTTTTTTGACCCTAATAAGTAAAATGTTTCTGCTGTAGTTGCTTTAACTTGATTTGTTATTTTGATTTGTGATAAATAAATAATAGTACTTTTTAATTTGCAAAACTGTTTTTTATAAAGTTGAGGTTTCCTTCTTATATTTGTTAATAAACTTTAAAATTTTTCAAAGAATTTCATTTTAAACTGGTGAATTTAATAACCTTCCAACATTGGGTGTCCATCATGGGATACATGTCCAACATTGAGTATCCATCACTGGAGAAGTGCCGTCCATAAATGGAGTTTTTGTGCCTTTTTGAGTTTTTCTTTATTTCATCAGAAACAATAACACTATATAAATTATATATGTACGTGTAATAAAGCATGTTTATTGGTCTACAATTTGATAATAGTCATAACATTGTATCTTTGCAAATAGATGAATAGTGATTAAAAATGTAAGACCAAATTCTTAAACTGTCCATAATTGGTGCCTTCACGTTATATATATATATTATTAAACACGGCTAACTACGAACGCTAAGTTGATTCAGCCATTTTATTGACGAGCAGTTCTTGCACTTTAGACTTGAAAGAAATCCGGTTTTCGGCACTCCTGATTTCGGAAGGAAGAGCGTTCCAAAGAAAAACATATTGAACAAAGAACGATGATTGTACAAAGTTAGTACTAAAAGAGGGAGGGAAGAAGACTACTGAAGCAAAATGTTATTACTAGAACGGAGAACTCTATCATGGTTGGAGCTAAGATAATGAAAATGAGGAGTTAAATAAGATGGAGGATTAGGAGACATCAAGATAGAGTAAAGAGTAGTGAGTACACGTATACTACGGCGCTGACGAATGGGTAACCAGTTAAGTTGAGAGCGATAGGTAGACACATGATCACACTTTCGAAGATTAAAAATGAATCGAATGCAGTTATTAAGAAGACGGTCATATTTGTTCAAGAACTCTGCATTCAGGTCGAAATAATACACATCATCATAGTTAAAAATGGGAAAAATTAAGGTCTGCACAATAATCGTCTTGGTCCTGGACGGGAGAAAGTTCTTCAGCCGGTAGAGAGAACGCAAAATACCTGTCACTTTCTGACAAACATTTGCCACTTAAGTTTGCCAGCTCAAGATGGAGTCAATGTGTAATCCAAGGTCTTTCACGGCATTACTCAGTTCTAAAATAAAACCGTTAAAATGATCGGCGGTAAAGCTGTGGGATCCAGTTTCTTTATCATCCGTTGGGTACCTATTATTATAGCCTGACATTTGGATGGGTTAACTTTAAGGCCAAACTTGTCAGACCAGTTCTTTATATACTCTAGGTCCCTATTAAGAGACTCAATTGCTGTAGATATACAGTCGACCTTCGCGTGTGAGTACAACTGCAAGTCATCAGCATACAAATGATACGCACGCTGAATATTTGGGGTAATGAGATTTATAAATATTGAAAATAACAACGGAGATAGAATACCGCCTTGAGGAACACCAGCATGCAAGTCACACCAACTTTATGAGGACTCGTCAATGCGAAATGACTGCTGGAGGCCTCGAATATAAGATGAGAACCACTCCAAAGCATCAGATGAGAGCATAGAAATTGAAAGGATTGATAATAGGATGTCATGACTGATAGCATTAAAGGCGTTAGCGAAGTCAATCAAAACCAGTACTGTGACTTTAGATTCCTTCATGCCTGCCTTAATGTCACCACACCACAGTGACTAAGAAGCGCGGAAACAGTGTTATGACCTGGCCTGAAACCAGACTGTAATGAGCTTAACAGGTTATTCGAGAAGATAAATTGTGATAGCTGTTTGTGTACACAAGCCTCTAGCACCTTTGATAAAAAGGGAAGAATGGATATAGATCGGAAGTGATTGGGTAAAGAACGATTAGAAATTTTTGGCGGAGGTATAATGTAAGCTTTATGCCACAGCGACGGGAAAACTCCAGAATCCAGAAAGAAGTTAATTATATGGGAAATAGCAGGGAGGGGATGGTCTATAATATTAATAATCATACAGCGACTGATATTCTCACAACCAATAGCATTAGACTTAATGGAGAGTATAACCTTCCTGATCTCATTCGACGATATTGGAGAGAAGATAGAAGGACGAGGTAAACCCAGTAACTGATTAACAGTTTGACACTTGGTTTGGTAATCCAGAGATGTATGTGAAGAGAAGTGTTGATTAATATCATCCTAACCAATTGTCCTCTGAAACTCAGAATGGGACTTCTTACCAATACCCATGGTTCCAAGGAACTTCCAGATATCTGTATTATGTTATACGTATACAGGCACACTTGATGCAAATTCATGCAAATGTAACTTTGTAATCCTATATATTTATATGGGATCACAAAGTTATTTATGTAGTTAGTGTATCTAGAAAACTGGACCGAAATTGAAAAATATTGTAGTTTTTCCTTGATTTATATACTATACACTAATTGTGTTCTAAGTTTGAAGCTTCCATGTCTGCTAGAAGTGCCTTTAGAGTTTTGATGATCTGTCAGTCATTGAGTGACAAAATTAAGAAATTTTGACTAATTATAAAATTCATGAACTACTGGTTCAAATTGAATGAAATTTGAAATATACCGTGTCTATACAAAAGTTTCTGAAAATTCCGGTTTCTAGTTCTATCCACAACGAGGGGTCGAAGATGGCCTGAATTGTTTCGAGAAAAGAAAATCTCTACACTTGTTTGTTTTTCAAAACTTTTACAAACCTATAATTATACTGCAAAACAATATTTTTTTTTATTATATTCATGGCAAAGAAAATCACTAATGATAATAATATATTTTAAAGTTGCAAAGAATTTGTATTATAGAAATATAATATATATGTTGAATTATTTTAGATTCTATACTTTTTTGAGCATATATATCTTTTTAACTTTTTCTTATCTATCATCCTTCTCTTTAATTTGAATATTATTTTTAACACTACTCTCTTTCTTGGTGCTACTCCAATACTACTGATATGTAAATGATCTATGTGCAAAATGCAGTTCAACCTGGAATTCAAACAAATTAAATAGACAAGGCAGACTTATTTCACATAACTTATGTGATGCAAGGACAGTAATCTTATTTAACAATAATATAATATAGAAGAATAATTCAACTTTCATATTGTTACGCACTCAAGTCCACGATACACTAGCGCCATCTAGTGTCAGGAACGAGAGCGAAGGGAGCATTGAGAAAATGACATCACAAATCACTCAACCGACAGCGCCATCCGAAGAACTAAGTTTCTAGAAAATCTACACTCGCACACTCGTCCCTTTGCGCGCATTTACTTGAATATTCCGGATGCTTCTTTGCTAATTTATATAAATAGGCGCTGCAAGATGCGATCGAGGCAGTGTTGATTTGGCGAGACAAGCGAAGCTTCGGAGCGGAATAAAGCGAATTAGTGTGTTTAATTATTAGTGTTTTAAGTTTTAATTTGTGTAAAGTAAATTAAAGTGTTAATTTAGGTAATTTTATCGGCAATTTTTATTGTCACGAACCTCAAGCTCGTAACAATATTATTATTTTATCTAGACAATTCTTAATATATGTAGTAAGATATTAAGAACGTCACTTTATTATTATGAATGTAATACAAAATTTATATTTTGAAACACCTATTTTCAGTAGCTTTCATTATTTATTTCACTTTCTGTCATAGAGGAATGTCAAATGATTGCAACTCTGAGTAAGCTTAGATACATCAAATTAGTTTTCATAAAATTGAAAACTCAACATGAACACACGATCATTATTGTTTAATTGGACAAGCGTAATAAGTAGGTAATCCGAACAATTTAGAAAGGCTATTGCTTTTTCTTACCTATGCTGGTACGTTAGCACATAGTAGTAACAGGACACCTTTTTTAACTTTCTTCTTTTTTGACCAGAAAAGCAGCGTTGATGAAAGTGATTGCTACTATTTTAATATATAATTAATCATACTGATTCACTTTATTTCGCTCCGAAACTTCGCTTGAATCGACAAATTCAATACTGCTCCGATCGCGGCTATCAACAGCTTTATATAGGGCTCTTCCACCGAAACATCCAGAATATTCCAGCAAATACGGGCGCAGACCCACCAGGCGCTGAGAGTTCGAGAGTGGACCCTTCTAGAAAGCTTAATTCTTCTGCTCGATACTAGATGGCGCTGTTGGTGGAAAGTTAAAGATTGGAATTTTCTAGGAAGCCCTCCTCGCTCTGTTCCCTGACACAGATGGTTAGTAATACTACATGCTCGTCCCGAGCATTGTCGGCTCCATAATAACGTGCCAGTCGATTCTCAGGAGTACCTCTTGCGCCTTTCTGTATCCGATAGGTTACATTGTTGATCCTGGTCACAATCCGGTACGGGCCGTCCCGTTTAACTTGAAGCTTAGGAGATTTCCCTTTGCTGCGGACTGGATTTTGCGACCACACTAGTGAACTTCGTATTTGTCATTTTGCGGTCATACCGGGTTTTCATCTTTTCAGACATTTGCTGGCCCGATTGTCTGACGTGCTCATAAATGTCGTTCATTGTTCATTGTTCCGCAAGTCAGTTACATAATCGGTTATACTGCGTGGGGCATCAGGTGGTATCCCGGTGATCAGGTCTGCAGGCAGCCGTAATTCTCTTCCAAAGTTTGCGAAAGCTGGTGTCACTG